GATCATATATGGCTGACTCTACCAAAAATGTATCATATCTAGAAAATAAATTACAAAACAAACATGGTGCATCAGTGTTTTCAAATTCCTAAAAAAAGACAACATTTTATCTATATAGCACTAGGCATTAAGAGTATTCTCAAATGCAACTTTGAATCAAGATGTGAATGATGTTATGCTCAACTTGCTTCAACGAGACATCATGTGTAACAAAATGTTCCCTGGGCTGTTAGGCCAAATCCCAACTCAGCCACTTACCAACTCTGTGATTATTTTAGAAAGTCACATAAACTCTCCGAACTTTAGGTTTTTCCAATGCACAATGGGATTCATAATGCTTACCTTGCAGCATTATTGTAAGGATTAAATAAGATCAGGTATGTGAAAAAGTTTAGTGCCTATCGCTTAGGAAACACCCTGTCGTGCTCCCTCCCTCCGTTCCTTTCTCCCTTTCTTTTCTTAAAATCAAGCAGCTTGGGGAAGCAGTGGTGATGATGACTCATTCAAACAGAATATAGATTCTGTGAAATCAGGATACTCAGATCACATTGATTTGCTGCCTGCCTTCTGACAAGTAACAGTGATGGACTATGGCACAGATGTCTGTAAAGGGTTCACAGTTTTACAAAAGACTTTCGCATGTCCTCTTTGGTCCTCACAAGAGCTCTCTAATGTGGGAGTTAGGAAACTCAGTTGACAGATGAGGAGCTGAGGTTCAGGAAGTTCAAGTCCCACTCCCAGACAAGCTCTGAGAACTAGAAATTGTGGTAAGTCTTCTAAGTGTCCACTGCACCCCAGTGGCCTCTTTCTCCCACTGTCAAAGCACTCCCTGAAGGGAAACCCTGAGCACCTCTGCAGGGACACATACCAACACCTGGTCTACATTAGACGCTCAGTTACCTGCAGGTGTCCAGCCCTGGAGTTCCCTTTCATGATCAGTTGTGCGGATACCGCTTTTGTTCTCATGCTCCAGGGTGGGGTCCACCCAAGTTCTGTTAGGTCAGCAGTTGAAGTGATGCGTTCTCTTCTGTTGATGGTTTTAATGATTTGGCTACTTTTGTAGTTATATTTAGGAAGTCTAACCTGTCTCAAGGAAACCATTTGAAGGACCATGGGAAGGATTAATCGAATGCAGCTTGTTATCTTTCCATTAGGGGAATCCATAAAGCTGAAAAGAAGGATTCTGAGATAAGAAGATCCTTCGCTTAGGATCCTATAAAAGGAAACTGCCCCCCTCCAAACTCCCTGCTCTTTTACTAATGCAGAGGAGGGACTTGAAAGTATTACGTGGCCTCCAGTAAGCCTGAGCGGGTGCACATACTGGCAGATTACTCTCTTTGCCGTCACATAAAAGATGCTCCAGGTGTTTCATTTTTAATTTTCCACTGTTCTTTGCAAGGACCAAACTTTTAAGTATAGCCCTGATGGTGGTGGACGGACATCCTATTTCTTTTTCCCTCTCCAAGACAAGGTAATTGTGCATCGTACATGGCACTCTGCAGTCATTTTTAATATTTAAAGGGTATCTAAGTTGGAGATTAAAATTTATGAAGAACAGTGTGATCCCAGGGAAGAGGATAGGAAGCCATTTCTACTTTCAAATGTAATAAAAAACAGATGGACCTCCCATTCCAGACATAAGTGCTACAATATTTCAGATACCTTGTGATGCTGGAAACCTACTGAAGGAAATTTCTCTCTCTGTCCCTTTCTGTGCATGCGTGTGGGTGTATGTGCACGCGTGCACACACACACACACACACACACTTATTTTGCATTGCACACATATAGATCATGAAGATAATTCCAGAGGGCAAGATTCAATTTTGTTTCTAAAAGCCTAGACTGTAACCTCAGGACCCAGCATGTTGACTAACCAATTAAGTAATAACAAGGAAACACAGTAGAATACTAAGTGGAAGACAATAACACTAACTACCATGCTCATCATTATCTTGAACTACCCTCACTTGGAAGAGATGATCTAATTATTCCCTTGTGCATCTCTCATGGGAAAGGTGTTATTATTTCCATCTTGAAGACAAATATAATGTCTACTCTCGATTTATAAGTGTCATTTCTTCTGAGAAGCTTCACTATTTGCTTTCTGGCTCATCTTCATACTATGAGTCTCAGACAGCCCAAATTAAGTAATTTTGTAGAATTAGAGGCAGAATGATCTGTTTCCGTAAATGATTAAAATTCAGTGTTTCCCAAATTGTTTTAATCATATACCCTATGAAGTTACAAAATGTCCAAAAATGTAGAATATAGGAACTTATAAGGATCATATACAAAGTGAATATAGCCATAAAGTCTAGTGCTTTCCTTGAGTTTTTGTAGGGTGTGAGCAACTCTTCCCTCTTTGGGATGCAGAGATAATTCAGCCCATAACATGTGCTTTTATCTAAAATCATCTTCTGCTTTCAGGCAAGATATTAGAAATATGTAACCATATAGCATGACACTACAGGAAGCAGTGATTAAAAGGGAAGTGGAGGCACATTAAAATTTTAAGGGTTTATTTGAGCAAATATATATTCAAATCAGAGTCCAGCCTCCGTGGTTTAGGGACACCGCCGACCGGAGGGAGGGGAAAGGCTTTTGCGGAGCAGAGGCTGAAGTAAAGCAAGGAAATTATTTGATTGGCTGTAGCTCAAGTGGTTGCCTTACTTGGTAAAGCCTGTGGCTCTTGGGGTTGGTTGCTCTAAAACTGTTTTCTCAGATACAAGTGTATTGACTGAAATTCACATGGCTTCTGTTATGATTTGCCTTCATAGATCACCCAGGCATTAGAGCCACCTCTGTCTCAGGGCCGCCATCAGTCACTTTAACGTGGTCAACAATGCTTTCTTACTCTAGTGAGTCATACACTTTCCTGCTAGCTGGCCTGACTTGAGTTCCTTCCTTCCCGAGTCTCCAAAGGTGATTCTGTTCATCTGCTGGGGGCTTCCTCCCAACACTTCGCTGGAGACGGTCCAAAACGTGAAAGGGGAAACTGTTTTCTCCACAGATCCCCAGAGTTTGCTTGCATAATGATTCTGACCACGTGCTCATGGAAGAGCGAGCCATGGCCTCGTCTCTCTTCCTGTGACATGACCAGTGACAAATGGAGACATTCCTCTTTTCGTGTTTTGCGAGAGGCACAGTTTCCTCAAAGGTCCTCTGCCTTAAGGGTTTTCCCAGTAATGATGTGTACCAGATGGCCTCACCCCTGAGTGCCTCACAGAGAACTCAACGTATTTGCTCCTCGCTGGTAATCTCAGGTCACACAGTCAGCTGGAAAGTCTGACAGCCTCACCTGCTGCCAGCGGCCTCAGCAGGACAAAGGAAAGTAGATCCCTGTTGACAAGGTTTGGAGCTGAGGGGGGAGGTGAACAAAGTCCTCAAGGGCTGGGGACGCCTGGGTGGCTCAGTGGGTTAAGCCTCTGCCTTTGGCTCAGGTCATGATCCCAGGGTCCTGGGATCGAGCCCCGCATCAGGCTCTCTACTCGATGGGGAGCCTGCTTCCCCCTCTCTCTCTGCCTGCCTCTCTGCCTACTTGTGATCTCTGTCAAATAAATTAAAAAAAAAAAAAAAAAAAAAAAAAAGTCCTTGAGGGATTCTTTCCAAAATGGCACAAAACACGTGCATTTATGTTTGCCACCACTTTGAGAAGAGCTGACGTTCAGTATCCCAATTTTAAAATAATGTGAGTGGAGATTATATCCCATTATAAATGAAGTCTCTGTTTTAGAATGTTGCTATTGATTTCCTGGTTCCTTTAAGTAGTAAGCTTGGTGCATTTCTTTATGCACTGATTATATGATGTAATTGGCAGAACTGGATTGTGTGTACATGTATGTATATTATGTAATTAAGCAGTCCTATAAAGTCAGCGGAGGTTGGTGCGTGCATTAATTCATTTAATAAGCCCTTAGCCAGCTTATCCCACATGTTGGAGATGGGACCGAACACTAGGGACACAAAAATGAACGAATTCCTGCCCTTGCTGGACTCACAGTTAACTGGGGAGGAAAAGGTTTGGGTGACTAGTCTAGAGAGAGGTTGGTTCTCAAGAATCACCTATGCCACTTCCCCTCTACTCTAACCCCAGTCCTCTAGTTTCTGATTCAGTGTAGCCAGGAATTTGCTTTTCCAACAAGTTCCCTGTTGAGGCTGATACTTCTGGCCCAGGGACCATAGTCTGAGAACCACTGATCTAGTGTCCCAAGTGTCAGAAGGCTAGGGAAGCTCTGAGGAGGAATTTCCAGCTCTGGTGGGAGGACAAAGGGGCTGTCCGAGGTTTCACAAAGGAAGTGAGTTTTAAAGGATAAATGGAAAGGGGGAAGGGGGGAGGGATTAGGACATGCCAAACACATTTGGTTCTAAAAGACAAAAGTAGGAAAGAGTATTTATAGTTTGAAAAAAGTGCAGATAATTCCGTTGGCTAGGATGAGGTTTGGGTTTGAAGTAATCGCAAGAGATGAAGCTGAAGACATATGTGGGGCCCGGGGCTATGACTGAGGGCCTGTCGAACACTGTCCTGTAGCTGACTATTTAACCATGAATCCGCAGAGCCTGGCTCCAAGCTGGAACAACCTTGGTTAGGAGAACTCTGTCATCATTCTCTTTTATCAAAAGAGGTTTCTTTCTGACCCAGGCACAGGGCTTCCCAGTCTTTTGGAAGAAATCCTGTACATGTCCCTGAAATGACAACTTTCATTGGAGGGGATAGGACTGTAGAAAGGATGTGTTGATTGCATAATAACCAGAACTGGGTGGGGACTTAAATTTCTGCCATTGACCCATCAGCCACAGTGATGGGGTATGTCAGTAGCTTAATAATTAATTGGTTAATTATGATTGACTGAGCTTATGATTGAACCCTAAGCTTCAATCACCTCAACCTCCTGCTTACTCAGAGGGGAGGGATGACAAGGTCTAGGAAGGAGGGAGTTGGAGAAAGGAAGACACCACTCAGCCCGGATTGCAATGATATGTGCTTCTCCTCCCTCTAGGGGAAGACGACGACGACGACGAATGTGGGGAGGAGAAGCTGCCCTCCTGTTTTGATTACGTGATGCATTTTCTGACCGTGTTCTGGAAGGTCCTCTTCGCCTTCGTGCCCCCTACAGAATACTGGAACGGCTGGGCCTGTTTCATTGTCTCCATCCTCATGATCGGCCTCCTGACGGCGTTCATCGGAGACCTGGCTTCCCACTTCGGATGCACCATTGGCCTGAAAGATTCTGTGACTGCAGTGGTGTTCGTCGCGCTTGGCACTTCAGTACCAGGTAGAGAATACGTTTCGTATATGATTTTCCCCAGACGTGGCAGCCCATTCACCTCCTTGACCTTTTCTTTCTCACAGTTTCAAGGACTGTGATAACAAACAGGCCTATGAAAGGCAAGAGCCCACAGGTATAAATACTGTCACCGCCAGAAGACTGTCATGGCAGTTTTCAAGGTTAGAAGGCTGGTCAGTATCATCGTGATGACAGGAAAGCATTCCCAGAGGGACTGCCTAGAGAACACAGACTAGTTTGACGGCTAGATCGATAGATCAGCTTCCCGTTACAGTGAGCACTTTCAAAAACACAACATTATGAGTCATCCTCAAGCACAAGATTTGTCTTTTATATATTTACTAACATTGGGTAATTTCCGTGAAACTGTGTTGGTTGGGTAACTGAGATAAATACGTACTGAAGACCTGATACAATATTCTCCTGACCCAAAAGTTAATGTAAATTAAAAAAAAAATCAGGACAGAGCAAAAATAATCCCAGCCAAACCAAGCAGGCCAAGTACACATTTTGTGGATGTCTTTTTGTGCATTCCTTATAAGCTAAAGTCTTCTTCCAATCTACAACTGTAGCTCATTATATTTGCCCAGACTTCTAAGAAATCATCCTCCCAAACATGAACTTGATAGCAGTAATTTTCAAATTTCGGTGAGCATCAGAATTACCTGGGAACTTGTTTTAAAAATGACATCTTAACAATCCATAAACATAGTTGTTTTGTGTTTATTTAGGATTTATTTTCATTTCTGTCAGTGTTTTGTAGTCAGGAATGCTTTGTATCACATCTTTTGATAGATATATTTCTAAGTATTTGAGGACTTTGGGTGCTATTATGATGGTCTATGTTATGTGTCATTTTTTATTTGCCGGAATACAATTAAATTTTATAGATAATCATTGTACCTAGTGACCTTATTAAAGTCACTTATTAATTAAAAACCCACCATCAACCTTTGGAGTCAGAAGGTCTAGAGGAAGGGCCCAGACCTGTGTGTTTTAAGCTCACAGGTGATTCTGGTGCACATTAGAGCCTACTGTCACCAAAGTTCTAGTTGACATCCTGACAGACATCCAGGTAACCCTGGCTTTTGGTTTTGATGCTGAAAAACAAGTGCACTTTAAATCACATATTTATCTCTTTGCTAGAATTCACTAGTTGTTCTTCTGTACTCAGATATTTATCACGTCAGTGTCTCTGAGCCTTTCTTTACTTGTAAAATAGGGATAACCATACTAAACTTGCAGAGTCGTGACAAGGACTGGAGAAAATACCTATAAATTATGCATCTAGCAAAGCATTTAAAAAGTAGAAGGAGTTTGATGAAAACAACAGCTTTTGGTATTATTTATGAATTGCGGAGGGTGATCTGACCAGTGTAGATCTGATACTTGATCCTTGAGTAACCAGAAGGAACCTGTCCAGATGTAGAGTGATGAGCCACCGCCCGTGGTGTTATCCAACTGATCCACCAAGGGGGAGTCCTCCTCAAGGGGCCTGACAAGGTTCTGGTGTCAGTGAATTAACCGAGGACTCAGGGGACCTAGGGGGTCCTTGTACGACTGCCTTAGCGAGTAGAACTATGCGAAGTCTTCCAGTTGACTGCTGATCTCTCAACACCAGCTGTTTCTAGCAGTTTCCAGTTTGGGTCTTTATTTTGATTTTTTTTTTTTTTCTGAAAATACCCAGAAATTTAACAAGCAGGAGGAAAGCCTTAAAATATTCATATTGTGAGTTGTTTTGTTTAGAAAACATATACACCAAAAGGAACTAAACAAAACAGCCATCACTCTTATCTCAGGTTACTATAGGAATATGTTTTGGAGGCTACTCTCCCTAAGGCTTAAATTACTGTATCAAATGGTACACAGGTTAGCACACTCTTCTGGCCCTGGGTTTAACCCTTGAGGAGAATATGTGCAAATTATGCTAATGAAAGCAAAATTAGGTCTCTCATCAGAGTTACTCAAAATCAACCTACCTCTCCGGAACGTCAGCAGTTGGTCCTACCAAATGCATCTTTGTTTGCCAAATGATCAAAAAAAAAAGGGGGGGGGGCTTTTACTACATAAAATCCTTGTTTCTAAAAATACACATTTTTAAAATTTCCCTGCTCCTCATCTCAATACCTCAAAACAGACTCTGTTTCTTGTATACTAGTCTTCCAAAGTAGCTCTGTTCCTCTCTTGTATTAAACTCTCTTGAAAAATGTGGCTGCCATACCATATCATTAATTTTTCTTTTCCTGTAAAATGAAATGTGGATTACACTAAACCTTCGTGTACAAACCTCATTTGTTCTGCCACTTAAAACCAGCTCAGAATCCAGGTAGGGGCATCAAGAGGTAAGAAAACCTGTTGGGGGAGAATACAACAAAACCATTAGCTGTCAAAATGGTTTTCCTTCACCGCCATAAACTCTTCCCATTGGGAAACAGATTTCTTTGCTCTGTTACCAAGAGAATTCCAGTAATTTGCTGTGGTATGAGCCGTGCAGCATGTTTTCCGCACAGTGTAGTCACAGGTGATCTCATAATCATATTTATATAAACAGACATCCCCCCCCAAAAAAAGCTGTGCAGATTGAACAAGATGCTGAACAAACATAATATTTCTGACTTTATTCTTGAACCCTGATGATTCAGAGCAGTGCTTTATTACCTCTCCTGACTCCTCAAAAAAAAAAAAAAAAAAAGGCTATTATTCCCAGATGACAAAGCCCAGTTGCTACAGGTGGAAAAGAGACCAATTCTTTTCACTCAAAGCTTACCACTAAAGGGCATTGGTCCTGAGGCCCAGTTTTTTTTTCTCTAGGTTGATGTCTTGATCCTTTTCCTAAAGTAGGAGGGCTCCAAGTGAGTGTTTGAGGTATTGCTGCCTCTTTGTAGGTGAGACCCTTGGATTCTCAGCTTCTGATGGCCTGCCCTAAGGCAGGATTATTTAAATACCTCATTTAAAGTATTTTTTTTTAATCATATTCAGACTCTATGGGGAAAAGAGCTTCTCCCTCCTACCAGTGGTAATTAAGTGTTCATTATAATCTACTGGCAGAGGAGGACTCCTGAGGGTCTTCATGGGGATCAAGGGGGCCCAACCTTAGGTAGGCGTAGAAGACCTTAAAGACTCACACTTGTTAAGAGAGCAAGAGCCTACTTTTCCTGAATCACCCTCTGCAGAGCTCCTTGTCTGGAGAAGAGGGGCTTCCTGAATGGTCTTCTTCTACCTTTAAATGTTGGAGTAAGTAGAGTGTGGTCTCCAGCTCTCTTCTCTTCCCCATCTGGAAGCCTGGCCTGTCCATCAGTCTTCATGGTGTAAATGCCACCAACACACTAATGATTACCAATTGTTTATCCCAGCCTCATCTTTCCCGAGTTCTAGATTCACATGTCAACTGCCCTCCCTATGTTGATGCTGGATGTGTAACGGGGGGGCTCCAAATCACCATGCCCAAAGTAGAACTGCTTATTTCCACTACCCATGGCCTTATCCTTCAACCAAACCTATTCCTTCCAGATCTTGCCTTTTTTCTGGAAAACAGTATCATCATCTAAAACAGTATGATCACACTGATCATCATCCTCATCATCAGTAACATATCAACAGTGCCCTTGATTCCTTTTTCTTCATCCCCACAGTCAAGACATTCAAAACTCCTACAGATCTTACCTCTACGGTGCATCTTGACAGGACCCATTTAGCTCTCTCTCCACCACCAAGTCCTGGTAGGCCGTTCTCTTGGATCCCTGCAGGGGCCTCCTCTCTGTCTCCATGCTTCTGCTAAGGATTGCTTTAAGATGCAAATCAGACTGCATTTCAGCCTACAATCTTCCGTGGGCTCCCTACACAGGATAAACGTCAGAAGTATCCCCCTGGCTTACAAAGACCTATGTGATTTGGCCCCTGACTGTCTTTCCATTCTGTTTTCCCCCTTCCCCACTGTTCTTGAGCCCCACTGTCTTGTTTACTGTCCTCCATGCCCCAGGTTCACTCCTTTCTCAAGGTCACACTCGCTGTCTGAAATGCCCTTTCCCTTCATTTACACAAGACTGGTTCTTTGTCTTCAAGTATATCTCATCTTAAAAATCACTTCATCAAAGAGACCTTTCCTGACCACCAATGTGAAGCATCTTATATCACCTTATAATAGAGTCTTTATTACTTTCTGGACATTGCATTTGGTTTTGAATGTTACTGTCTACCACTGAAATGAAAGCTTCATGGGAAAATCCTGCCCTTTCAATCTCTCATTATCTTTGGCTCCTAAAATCATGCCTAGCTAATACATAAGTAATGGAATTGTATATGCCTGTGTGCTTGTGTGTTTGTGTGGATGTGCTTTGTCTATAAATGAATGTACAAATCAGTCATTTACACATTAGTATGAGTTACTTAAATGAGATGGCTTTCTTAACACCTGGAGACAAAAAAGATTTAAAGTTATGACTGAGGGATATATGCCATACATACTTTTGTAGTGTGGCTTATTCTTGAGGAATATATCTGGGTAGGTTATTGTGGTAAGAAGGGCATGTGTAACTTAAGAGCACGGAGTCTCCTCTTTCACAATTTGGCTATGCTGGAAAGTGTGATGAGGAGTGAGATAGGTTGTACCTTCTTCATTCTTTTCTCTGCTATCATCTCTGCTTTCAAGATCCCGAATTCAGGCCAATACTTTTAAAACTTTTGATACATTCTGTGTAGTGCTAAATAGGCATTTTGCAGTAGCCTGACTTGGGTCCATAACTATGTTACATCAGATTGTTTCTATAGAACACAGGCTCAAAATTCATGAGAAATTAATCCAACAAGTTTAGAACCCAGCCATTTTTGTAGTAGGCATTAACTGTATCATACACCTTTTTAGCTTACAATTATTTACTTGGATAATACTGGGTATATTGGGTCAAGATATCCCAGCTTCTATATCATGTTCAAAACATGATTTTCCTTCCATCTGTTGCTCTATTAGAGTCAAGTAGAAGCAAGCATCC